TAATCGATTGATTATCATTTATCTACTTCACAACTGTACAAAGTAGATATGTACAGATGCAAAGTAGATAAATGGTAACCCTGGTTACGTAAAATTGACTGTTGAGCTTTACATCATGTTACAGAGCTTCAGGAAGAGCAGGAGTTTTTAAAGAGACAGAGGATCAATATCAAGGCGTTAAATTACAAAGTCAAATTTCTTTTAAGACATTTGATACATATGACATTTTTATAACAACTGAAATTAGAATAGTTACTTAATTGTGTTATAAAATGGATCTACGTGCCTGGAAAATACATAATATTGCCCCTTAAAAACAAACCAAAAAAAACTGAAAAGTGTGGTGCACATTTGTTTTCAGCTCCTTTAACTGACCCAGATCTCATTATAAATGCAGCTGTTCTGTAGCTTCATGAAGACCAAAGTACACATGAGAGAGATTTTATGAACATATGCTCATTATAACACATTGACGTTTGTGGTAAAATGTGAAAAAGTTTAAGATGAATAAATATTTTTGATAAGTTGAAGATGCTTTTCAGTTTTCTCTGGTTGTTGTGATAAATCTTTGCCTCACCAGGTATGCCGTGGCCGAGTCGGACTGCAACCTGGCCGTCGCCCTTGACGACAGCTACTATAAGGCGTATGCTAGGAGAGGAGCCGCTCGGTTTGCCCTGCAAAAACACCAGTTGGCTCTGGAAGGTCTGAATCAGATTAAACCTGGTTTTATCTGAACAGGTTTAAACCTGGTTTTATCTGAACGGGTTAAAAACTGTTTTGTTTGAGCCGTCCTGATCTGAGGCTGTTGATTGTGTCTGGACAGATTACCAGATGGTCCTCCAGCTGGACCCGGGAAACGCCGAAGCCCAGAGTGAAGTGAAGAAACTCCAGGAGGTGAGGGTTGGGTGGGGTCAGTGGGGGTCAGGGTTCAGTTTGTCCTGCTGCTGTCTAACCCACGTTCTGGTCAGTTCAGATCCTTGCTCAGGTGGACGTCCGGGGTCCGGCCGTCCAGCCCGCCGAAGCCACCGCCGCCGACCAGCAGCGACAGCTGGAAGAGCAGCAGAGGAAACAGGAAGCTGTGATGCAGAAGGACAGAGTGAGTCCTGGTTTATCTCCTCTCTTCTGTGTCAGTTTGTTCTGAAACCCAATGGTGACATTTGCTCCTCAGGGAAACGCTTACTTCAAAGAAGGGAAGTATGAGGCAGCCATAGAATGCTACAGCAGAGGAATGGAGGCAGACGGCATGAACGTCCTCCTGCCTGCCAACAGAGCCATGGCCTTCCTCAAGTTGGACAGGTAGAAACATCCAACAGTTTCACTCCATCCAACAAATGATAGCAGGAGATTGTTAGCAAACTCTCTCCATCTGTCCTCCATCTGTCTTCCTGCAGGTATAAAGAAGCAGAGGAGGACTGTACAGCAGCCATTTCTCTGGATGACACTTACTCCAAGGCCTTCGCCCGCCGCGGCACAGCCAGACTGGCCCTGGGGAAACTGCAGGAGGCCAAGGAAGGTGCTGCAGAGCTCCCACAGCAACCAGCAGCAACATGCTGGGTTTATTGTTTTCAATAATGTTTTGTTTTTTTCCTTTTCGTTCACATTTAAACAGGCAGGCCACTCCTGGGAAGGTCCACCACTTTTTAGTGGTGCTGTTTGTGAAGCTGCACGCTCCAAAATAAACAGCAATATTTTTGGTTTTCTTGGGGGGGGGGAAAAAAAAGAAAGGCAAAATTTTCAAAGTCATATTTTCATAATTTTTTTCATTTGTTTATAAGTGTCACAGTTTGTAAATTCAATACTTAACTGGCAACATAATTAAGATTGCTAATTAATTATGTAGTTAAACTGAATAATTGGTTAGCAAGCTAGATGAGCAAAATATTTAGTTAGGATGCTAAATATATAGCTTCAAACTAAATATTTGCATATTAGCTAAATATTTAGCTTAGAGCTAAATATTAAGCCTCAAACTAAGTATTTAGCTAACAAGCAAATATTTAGCTTCGAGTTAAACATTTATCTTGCTGATTAAATCATTTAGTTTGAACCGTCACATGTAGAAATGAGCGAATGATGTGGTGAAAATTTGAGTTTGAAAAATGAATCTCCATTTTTTCTTTCTTGCTTTTAGACTTGCTAAAAACTCAAATTATTGCTGTTCATTTTTGACAGTGTAACTTTACACTCCACACTCCCCCTGCTCCATGTTTCCTCCAGTTTTGGATAATGGCTCCCAGTGGTTCATTGGAACATTTTGTTTGCAAATGGTTCCTCCGGACTGATAGATGACCGGAGGAACCAATGACAGGGGTTTTGAATTTTAGATCGAGGCTTGGTGTTCATCTTTTCTGAAGTCTTTTAGCCTACTTCATGGTGCCAGATGGGTTCTAATGGCAGTAATGAGTTGTGTTAATCACTTCAGAGACTCCACATGTTTGAGTAATTGTCTTGACTTTCCGTGTGTGTGTCAGATTTCCAGCGGTTGCTCCAGCTGGAGCCCGGGAACAAGCAGGCCCTGAATGAGCTGCAGAAGCTGCAGACGGTACGCTAACAACTGCTGGGTTTTCCATCTGAGCTGCTGAACTCTGACCCCTGAACTCTGGAGTCTTTCTCCTCCAGGATCCAGACTGCAGCGGCGCTCTGCAGGCGGAGGATGGCGCCCAGAGGAGGACGGTCCAACCCGTGGACAAACCAGAACATCTGCGCTCAACCGTCGGTTCCACAGCGATTTTAGCTGCGTCTGAGTAAAGGTGTTTGTAAAACCCACTGAGTTAGCTTCTCCTCTGGCCTGCAGAAACCTCTGAGACGAATCGACATCCAGGAGATCAGCGGGAAGCTAGCGCTGCCCAGGCAGGAAGCTCTTCCTCCGTTAATCCAGGAAGTAGACAGGAAGACTGACTCGCCGCTGTCTTCATCGCCCAGCGCCAAGATCATCAAAATGGAGGAAGCAGCAGAAACACAGACACAGAGACATGACAGGTGACTTTTACATGCCAGGAGGGGAGGAAACCATGGTTACCACTGGGACTGGACCAAAAAACAATATTATCCATTAACTCAACGTTTGGTTTTTAACTCAAGATTTAATTTTTGAAAAATCCTGATTTTTATTTTAAACCAATGCAGTGCTTGGCTTTCCATGGGTGAGAGTGATGTCAGCAGGGCCGCCATCTTGTTTGGAAGTTACAGCTTCTGTTGAATTCAAGGCAAATCTATGATGGAATGTTAGGATTATGAGAATAAAGTCATAATATTACAATAATACAGTTGTAGTGATATGAGACTAAGCTGTATGACAATAGTTGAAATAATGCAAGAACAAAGCATCAATATTACCAGAATATAGTCAGAATACTAGAGAAATGAAGTAATAATGTTATAAGAACTCCTTCACTAAAAAATTAAAATGAGAAATGTTGAGCATCTTGTTAATCTGAAAAGTGTAGCTTGCATTTGCAATCCTCTAACTGATTTACTGACTTTATCCGTTTTCCCATCAGCCCTGGCACAATTTCCCTGTGTTTGCAACAGAAAAGCATTCCCATACCATGCTGCTGCCACCGCCGCCCTGCCCCCTGCAGGCCCGTTCCTCCTGCCATTTTTACATCCAGGTTTGTGGTGGCGTTCCTAACTGTTCTCCTGTGCTCTCCAGAGTTTCTGCCAGCAGAGACGCCAGCCAATCAGTTCAGGAGGAATCCACAGAAGCAGCTGAAGCACCAAGTTCAGACGTTCCTCCTGCTCCCAGCAGCAGCTTCCAGCTGGAGGCGGACCTCCGGAAGCTCAGCAAGCAGCCGGAGGCGGTTTACAGATACCTCAGGGTGAGCTGCATTCTCCTTTCGCTTCAGCACCGACAGCTCCATACTTTATTTCATTTTTAAGCCAAACATTTATTTCCTGAAGGCTTTTGGATGTAGAATAAAAAAAATAAAATAAAAAAAAAATCAGACCAAATCCAAAAGTTATGTGAACGTTTGGATTTGCCTTCCATTGTGCATTAAGTTCAGATTAATTCAAACAACCCTTGTGTTTTCTTTAATCCTGTGCGAATGTCATTTGAAGCGACAGAGCTGTACATGGACTTAATCAATCTTGTAGTTTAACACCTGGCCTCCAGGGGGCACTGTTTAGTAAAAGCTGGAAGACCGTTAACTGCAGAGTGATGTTGTCCGTTTCCATTATATTCACACAGAAACACGATCCAAATCCATTTTTCATTTTTATTTTTTGCCTGAATGTGATTCATGTTTGACTTTTTCATGTCTGTCTGAACGGCCCAATTCCAATCATAGAAAAAAATTAAATCCCATTTGAACCACTTCCACATGTGGTATTAAATCAGATACATATATAATGCTTTTTTTCATACCAAATCCAATTTATTCATTTTTTCTGGCTTTTTTTTCCTTGAAAAAAAGTTTACAAATATTTAAAAAAACTTGCTGATTATGTTTGCACTCATTCCTTTTTTGGGGAGTTTACCTGAATTAAAATTGCTAAATAAACACAAACCAGATCAGAACATCACTCTGATCTATGGAAGCCCAAGGAGTCCATTTGTGAAAAAATAAAAACCTTCATGAACAGAAAGCTCGATGAATGGATAGAAGTCATTTCTGGCCCTTCCATGTTTGGATGCTAAACATTCTTGTCCCTGTTGGCAGCAAATCAGTCCCTCAGCGTACAGCCAGATCTTCCAGAACTCTCTGGAGCCGGACCTGCTCAACCAGATCCTCAGAACCCTGCGCGATTTCTTCATAGGGTAAGCTGTCTAGACGTAAACATCAGAGCCGAGCTGCTTTTGTCCGTTCACTCTGCAAAACAGTTAAGACTGGCCTGTTTGGAGCAGGAATGAACCTCCAACCTCCATCTTGGAGACCCTCGGCTGTCTGGCGGGTGTGAGGCGCTTCGACATGGCCGTCATGTTCATGACGCCGCAGGACAAGAAAGGTGGGCTCCTTTTCATCCTCTGCCTTCTCGTTCATGTGAGATCATTGTTAAAAATGTGTCGTTTCCTCCCTCCTCTCAGTGCTGAAGGAGCTGTTTGACTTCCTGCTCCAAGCCCAGCTGGACCAGCCCACCGTTTCAGACCTGCAGAAGAAGTACGGAGTATGATGGACGGACAAACGTGTTCCCAGCTTCCAGCGTCTGCAATGCTTTTTCTTCAACCTGCCAAATATAACCTGACATTTGCTGAACTGATCACTTAACCAAATAAAACAGGTGTGTGTTTCTGAAACGTGTGTTCTTGTTTCACTGGATTTATTTTTCCAAGATGGAGCAAAGGAGGAGAATTAATCTAGTCAACTGCCAAAAACACCAGATTTCTGCAATTCAACACTGAATGATTACATCATTAATAAACAGTGTAATTAATAACACGGATTATTAATAACACAGATTAATAATCAGTGTTAGTTCTGATGTTAGTGTAGTGTTACCACTACACTAACATCAGATGGCTGATTTGATGTTAGCCTAGTGCTGTAGTATCACGATGCAGCCAGCAGGTAGAGCCAAAACGTAAGTATGGAATGCCATTTTGGATATAATTTCCAAACGGCTTTCCAGTTCAGTCTGGCGCTTAATGGACCCCAGCATGTTTCATAACTCATATGGAGGAATTACATAGAGAGATGAGCCACAAATCAGAAAGTATTGATTTACGAAACATGTTTTAGGATAAGTTTTTTTTTTAAATATATCAAAACATTTAAATAATCCTTCATGTTAAATCAGTTTATTAAATACACCTAAAATCAAATGTGTAATTTGCTTCCTAAAACGTCAACTAATTATGTGTTAAGATCATACATCTATGTAACCTAAACTGCCACTGTTGCAAAAGACAATTTTCAAATAGACAATGAGCTGCAGAGCAGAATTATGGTTACATAGCAATCACAATTATATAATTCTGATTATTTTCTACTGCTATAGTAGAAAAGTTAAGATTTACGAGTAGGGATTACACCAATATAAAAAATTGGCAGAAATCTTTCCTTAGCTTGTTTTTTGTCAACTGTTAAGTCCTAAAGTAAAAAAAAAAAAAAAAAGAAAATGTCAATTTCCTGTAAAAAAAAGCACCTACAGTTTGCAAAAATAAATGGAGTAAATTATTTTGAATATCTGAACTATTTATTGACAGTAAAAGCATTGACAAACAATTTGGACAACTATTAATAAGATTAAAAGTAATATTTCTGCGTGTAGGTAAAAGTTCATGTCTGCTGGTGTGTGAGCTCTTAAAGAGATGTTTCCTTTGAGTCCCGCGGCGGCCGGAAGGTCAGGATCTCAGTGAAAGTATGACCTGTACAAAAAGAAACGGGGTTTAAGGTTTTAGGTTTTTCACGAGCCTCCTTTGCTACATACGGGCCCTGTAAAAGTCACTGCGTTTCCATTACAAATGTGAGCAAATCCTGCTAGCGCTCATCATCTATCAGCCAATAAGAGGAGACATTCAGGCTTTGGAGTGACAAGCCCCGCCTACTTGGTAGCGGCTACATGTTCGGTGTTTTGGGGAAACGACAGTGACCCCCTCCCGTCCCGCCTCACGTTTCCACTGCTCCAGCGGCAGGTCCGTGTTGTCCATGGTCTGGTCGTACGGCAGCGCCTCGCTCTCCTCCTCCACGTCCCTGAACTCGCTGAAGAACGGCAGCTCCAGGGCCTCCGACGCGCTGGCCCTGCTGTCAGGGTCCAGGAGGAGCATCTTTTCCAGGACACTCACCGCTGCGGCGCACAGACACGCGTCAAAGTCGGCAAAAAAAGAACTTTGGCAATGAAGCCAGAGAGAAATGCTCACGTACCATTTGAGCTGGCTTTGGAGAAAATGGAGTGCAAATCTTTCTTTGGCACTTTCGGTAAACTCCGGATGTAGTTTCTGGCCTGGTGAAGGACAGAAAAGGTCTCAGTGTGATTTTAACCTTTATATCGGCACCTTCATAAAATACAGATCTACGTCATGTTTTGCCAAAAATGATTTTTTGCTTAATCATCTTTTAGCAAAAAAAAAAAAAGACTTAAGATTACTAACTTAGAAAGGTGACGATATTCAACCTCCCTTTGTCTGGTACTGCTAAACAAATTACAGTGTAACCAACTTCCTTCAAGTCACGATGCTTCTGGTTTTCAAAATAAATCCATCTAATTTTGACATTAATCTCAAATTTTGGCCTTTTGAAACTCAGAAATTTCCATGTTTCTTCTAGAAAATTTCTGACATTAACCAAATATTTCTGAGGACTTTTTTGCTATAACAAACTTGAAACTTTTCAAACTCAGAAATTGCCAAGACATTCTAGAAAATGTCAATGATCAAGCTCAACATTTATTTGTTTATCCAGCAACTTTTTGACTGTTGGAGCTCAGACATTTCCTTGAGTTTTTTTTTGTCAGTGTGCACTGAGCTCCACCACTGGAGCCCAACAGTCAAACATTTGCTAGAACAAATTAAATACAAATTTGAGCTTCAGGTAAAAAAAATTTCAGTACTAGCCATGAATCAATACTCGATCAGTATTGGTCCACAGCCTGGTGGAAATCTGATCTACGAGACATGTCAAATTTGAAGTTGTAACGTGACAAATGATGTGAAAGTTTAAGAGCTCTGATTGGCTTTGCAAGCCACTGTGTGCCTGGTAAAGGTTTTATTCCAGTTTTATTGAACTGCTGTAATGTGAATCTAAATGGACAGAACATCTATTCAAACTGAAGACAGTTGAGTAATGACAACTTACATCTTGACTCTGTAGCTTGAGAACAAAGTCGGGAGTCGGAGTTCCTGTAATCTTCATGATTTCTCTTAACTGGTCCAGGTCTGATGAAGGAAAAGGTTAAGAATCGTTGCTCGAATGAATTTCTATCATCATTCATATCAAAATTTTAGTAGGCAAATAAAGAACCTCCCTGCAGGCAGGACCTCTCAATAAACACAAGACTCTGACCACAGGAAGTCCAGAACTACTTAAAGATGATTTGTTAATGTTTCCGCTTGTGGTATTGTAGCAGTATATGACCTGTGATTGGTTCTCAAACTGTAGAAATGTTGGTCAGTTCAAACAAGCTACCTGTAATGTAGAGCGAATAAACACCAAGTGTCAAAAATATGAACCTATGATCTGTATTTTCATACCAGTCTATGTTATGCTGTAGAGTTGTGTCAGGTAAAGATTTATATATACGTTAATGAAATTATTACTTTAGAATAATAATTACCGGAGTACAGATAAGATTTTAGAGTACATGCTGGCTTTTACATCTCATCCAGGCACTTGTATGGATTCAGTAAAAACAAACTTTTACTTTTGTAAATTTTAAGACCATTTTCAAACAAATAACTGAAATGACATCAGGTCAAATTAACCAACCGGACAAGGATACGGTCGTTTCCCTTGAACAAAGGTTTCCCCAGCAACATCTCTGCCATGATGCAACCCGCTGACCAAATATCCACTGCAACGCAGAGCAAAAGCATTGCTGCAAAATGATTCATTTACTCCATCAGGTTCCTTTTGTTTTTTATTATCATCATCACCAGTCTGCGTGTAGTGCATCCAGTTAAGGATAACCTCCGGCGCTCTGTACCAGCGCGTCACAACGTAGCCGGTCATCTCTGCATCGGCCTGCCGGGCCAACCCAAAGTCCAGGATCTACAGCAGAATGGAGGGAAGGTACTGCATTACATTTTTAAAAATAAAGATGAGAATAAAGCAAGACAAGGTGGCTTACCACTGAATTACCTTTAGCTCACAATCAGGGTTTATGGCCAAATTTCCAGGTTTGAGGTCCTGTTAGATAATATGTTTATTACAGATCAGTATACAGAATGTATTTACTCTTTAATTTGTACTCATTAAATGTCAAACATAGGAAGGTAATATCAACAAGGCATGCTGGGGTATTTAGAAATGCAGCACAGAATTTTAATACAGTGTTTTGTCTCAATAAAAGAACAGATAAACAGACTTGGTAAAGCTTATGGTTCAATAGGTCAAAGTTCACGCACCCTGTGGATGATCCCTGCAGAGTGGATATACTGCAGAGGAAAACGATACAGGAAAAACATAAGCTGTGCTCAGAAAAATACAATTTTCTTGTTTGTTTTTTCCCCTAGAAAACAGAGAATGTTTGGAGAATTTATTTCCACCTTAAGGCCTCTCAGCATCTGATAAACCAGGAACTGGACGCGATCCTCTGACAACCTCTCCATCTTCATCAGCTTGCCAAGGTCGGTGCCCATGAACGGCATCACCAGGTAGCTGAATGTAAGGAGGTCAGTGTTATGATTAGGACATAAAAAATAAATAAAAACTTCTGGAAGAAGTGAATAGAAAAGGACCTTACAAGTCTCGAAACCGATCCAAAGAGATCTCAGCTGTGAAAACATCCAACAGCCCGATCACCTGATAAAGACCAGGAAAATGATTTCAAATTTACTATGCTACGCTATTGAACATTATGCTAATGGAGCACCACACCATACCACAATAGTACTACACTACTAGTGATGGGTCAGGCTCAAAATAATCTAACAGCCAATGCTTTGGAGTCAGTCAAAAGAGCAGAGTCCCAAGGTTTTTTCCCTTGAGCTGCTCAGCTCTCACTCTCAGTGGCTCTGCCCCTCAGAACTTTATTTTGATTGTCAGCTTGTCTTCTACAAAAAAAAAAAAAAAAAAAAAAAAACCCGGGAAAAAAAAAAAAAGAGGGGGGGAAAAAAATTACCCCCCAAAAACGAAAAATTTTTTTTTTTTTTAAAACA